AGACAGTCATACAGTCTTAGTCGTAAATTAAACATCTAATTAACTGCCTTTCCATATTTTTCACCCTCTGCTTAAGGATTCATATATAACAATTTTAGGCTGGAATCTATATTAGTTACAACCTTTTATTTTTCAAAACAAAAAAAAATCGTTACATAATCACACAATATAGACATTTTACAATTATAACTAAAGACAGTCAAGCTTAAAACAGGTAAGTTCCGTTTTGGAACTCACCTTGGGAGGACTGCAGAGAGTCCAACACTACAAGAACTTTTTTTATTCAGTGTTTTTTTTCCCAGACTTTTTCAACCAGGGAGGGGGGAAGCTCTTGAAATTTTCTAAGGGGGAAGGGGAGAGAGGGGGGGGGGGGCTATGTCGTAAAGTACAAAGTAAACTCGTGGACATAGCAACAATTTCAATAACATGTGATTACGTTTGAAAATATGAATTGAAGGAATTATTACAAACTTTTGAGACAAAGGAGGGAAGTAAAGTTTTTGATGTCTACTTAGGGGTCATCCATAAATGACGTCACGCTTTTTTTGACGATTTTTACCTCCCCCCCTCCCCTCCGTCACACGTCGTCACAAAAAGTCAGACCCCCCCCCCCCCCTAAAATGACGTCACACCTCAACCTACAACCCCCCTCAAAACTGCAGTTGAATTTTTTTTAAACATCAATATTTTTCCAAAATCTTGTCTAAACTATTACAATTTATTAAAACAGTTATCTAAAACGCGAAATAACGTCTAAAATTCGTTTTCTAACATTGCTTTTTTATAATGCAAAAATGTGACGTCGCAACATCTGAACCCCCCCCCTCCCCCTCATCACACATCGTCACAAAATTACGGACCCCCCCCCCCCTCCCCCCTACGAGTGTGACGTCATTTATGGATGACCCCTTATAACGTGTATGCAATTGATAATAAATTAATATGTCACTTTTAATGAATTGTTTTCTTAAACATATGTTTTAGTGATTAATTTGTGTGAAAGGGGGCGTTTTAATAAGTTTTGCCTATTGCGCTAAACAGTGTTTCTTCCAGACTTTTTTCTCCGGGGGGGTGGGGGGGGGGGCGGTCAACATTTTCCGGGGGGCGGACACTAATAAAAAAGTATATGTTTGTTTTATAAATTCCATCTCGTTCGGGGGGATGGAGGCGGAGCCCCCCCCCCCCCCCCCGAAGAGATGCCTGGAAGTAACTCTGGCGCTAAATAACCTGGCGCCGGCACTAGGACCTTTGATGCTTATACCGTAGCCTGACTGAAACCAATATAAGGACATGCAGTCGGAGAAAGCCATTATTTCTAAATTTAGAATTTTTTAAGCATCACATGACACTATGTTTAGCAGCAAAGGACCAGGCTAAGGAAACATCACATATATGTCAGAGTTCTTCATTTGAATACTCCCAAAAGTTTTATTACTTGATTCGTACTTGCTCTACTCGGTGGCGTTAATAGAGCTTGAATGGGAATATTACATTATGCCTTATTGTATAAGGTATAATGTTATTAAGGGACCCTTAAATCGTAATTGTTTAAACGATGGATCTATATGGCACCAAATTCTCCTTTCAACCAGGGCGCCGAAATCTCTTTTTGACCTAGGGCGCCAAAATTTCAGGTTGACCAGGCAGAGTTTCTTCCAGGCATCTCTTCGGGGAGTCAGAGCTCCCCCGAAAAAAATTTACCCCCCCCCCCCCCCCCGAACGAAATGAAATTTATATAATTTATACAGAAAATATATACTTTTAACAGTGTCCGCCCCCCCCCCCCAGAAAGTCTACCGCCCCCCCCCCCCCCGAAAATTTTAAGTGCCCCCCCCCCCCCCCCCCGGAGAAAAAAAGTCTGGAAGAAACACTGCGACCAGGCTGCCAAAATCTTGTGTCGACCAAGGCGTCAAAATTTTGTCGACCAACGCGTAAAAATGGTATGTCGATCCAGGGGCCAAATTCTCGCATCAATTGGGGTTTTACTATCTCGTGTCGACCAGGGCGTCAAAATCTCTGGTCGATCAGGGAGCCAAATCTCTGGTCGACCAGGGCGCCAAAATCTCTGGTCGATCAGGGAGCCAAATCTCTGGTCGACCAGGGCGCTAAAATCTCTGGTCGACCAGGGCGCCAAAATCTCTGGTCGACCAGGGCGCTAGAATCTCTAGTCGACCAGGGCGCCAAAATCTCTGGTCGACCAGGGCGCTAAAATCTCTGGTCGACCCAGAGGCGTAGCGACCCTTCCCGGCGCCCGGGGACAAACTTTTCGATTTGCAGCCCCCCCCCCCCTCAAACTTTCGATTTGCACCCCCCTCAACCTTTCAATTTATCTTTCCAACCCATTTTGGCGCCCCCTAAGGTCGGCGCCCGTGGACATATGTCGCACCCCCCGCCCACCCCCCCTCGCTACGCTACTGGGTCGACCAGGGCGCCAAAATTTCTGGTCGACCATGGCGCAAAAAATTCGTGTCGACCAGGGTGCCAGAAAATAGAAGCAAGAAACTTTCTTACTGACTAAGAGTATTTATTAAACATTACTGAAATTAAATAAAAGATGAAAGTATGAACTTAGAAAAATACTTTTCTGACATTTGATACTTTCTTCTATTATTTATAATCGTCTTATTTGAAAGAGAAAATCCATACCAAATGTACCACTGTGCTTATCAACAAAACACAAACTAAACATACCAATACAGCATTGCGACATTAACTTTTAATGATTGTTATTTACAAAATTCTAAATATAATCGTGTTTTTTTTAATTGTTTATTTTTGTTGTAATGAGTAAATAATGCAGAAAACCGATGATCTCCCATGGGAGATTAATTAACAATCACTCTTATGTCAAAGATATATATATATATATATATATATATATATATATATATATATATATATATATATATATATATATATATATATATAATAGTAAAGCTGTAGGAATTTTCTAAAAGGAAGCTAGTTTCTCCATTCAACTCACTCTAAAACAGTGGTTCTCAACATTTTTGGAGGTACCGAACCCCCACCTGTTTCATTCGCGCATTCGGTGAATCCTTAATAGCTCTATCGTCTGCACTGACAAAATCCGATCGTGAATCATATGAGTCGGGTGTGTTTCTTGACCTCCGCCGAACCCCTGTGAATGACTCACCGAACCCCTGGGGTTGGATCGAACCCCAGGTTAAGAACCACTGATCTAATTCTATACTCTACGATCCTTTAAAGAAAAAAACGAATCAGCTTAAAGGACCGTGCACATATTGTATTACACAAAGGGGTGGGGGCAGTGGCGTAGGCAGGGGGGGGGGTTAGGGGGTTTTACCTTCTCGCTACCCAATTCGTATAGGATTATTTTGTATGTCCCGAAGATATACAAGAAAGGCATGTATAACTATATTAAATATTTTTAATACAGGCTTTACGGAACAACTTATTATAGTCCATTGCTCTATTGTGCAGGGGTCTCCAAACTTTTCAGCCAGAGGGCCATTAACTATCAAATATCAGTCAGGGGGCCAGAGTTTCTTCAAGGCATCTTTTCGGGGTGGTGCCCCCCCCCCCTCACACAACAAAATATAATTTATATAGAAATATATACAAATTTCAAGTGGACAAAAAGATCTCCGCTGGCCGGATTAGAGGAGCTCGCGGGCCGGATGCGGCCCGCGGGTTGATGTTTGGAAACCCCTGCTCTATAGGAAGAAAAGGGTGTTTTCTGAATGTTATATAAAATTGATGGTCCATGAAAATGTTAACTAACTCGGATGGTGGTATGAGATGTTATAATTTTTGTGTTATACAATATGTGCACAATACCGAAGTTAAAAAATCTACAGTCAATATTGAGTAGAAACTAGCATACAATAAATGTAGGGGGTGGCTGTGGTTTTGTTGAACTGGGGTCGTCCATAATTGGCGTCATACTACTAGAGGAATTGGGTTGGGGGTTGGAATTTTGTGAGGATATGTGATTAGGGGTGGGGGGGGTGTGTTCAGTAAGTGTGACGTCACACTGTTGCATTTTTTTAAAGTAATGTATAAAGCTGAATTTTTGCCATTATTTCGCATTTTTGAAAGCTGTTTTTTATTTTTATTTTATTAGAAGTTGATTAACATTTAGATGATTAATATTTATAGGCTGAGGTGTGACGTCATTATAGGGAGAGGGTTGGCTTTAGTGACGGTGTGATGGTGGGATGGGGAAGAGTTAAAAATCCCCCCCCCCAAATAGCGTGACGTCATTTATAAATGACTTCTAATCCGATACTGACCACGCGAGTAAAGAAAATGCAGATAAATATTCCGAGTAGTGATTGTCATTAATTAAGCTCCAGGGGTCTGAGAAAAGCGATATGTGAAGCGTATATAAACATTTATGAAATAAATGCTTTGTCGTTTTTTCCCATTGTGTCGTTTGTTGAGCACGTGATATGATGCGTGGCTGGTACCTGTAAGGTGAAGGTCAGCGCGTCTTACCACCTTTGTAGACCACGATTCGGCTCTATGTGCCCCGTGTTAAGTTGTTCATTTCTCCTTCATTAATTTGACCCTGATCAGTTCCAATTATCAAAACATTTTTACAGATGGCATATTAATAACGAGTAGGTTTTTTTTTTCCCCCTACAACTAGCAGTCCTTCGCCCACTGCTAAAAAAGAAAATAATCCACATTTCATGCCGCAAGCTTTTAGAGGAACTGTCACTTAAAGCTGAAAAAAAAATGTGTATCATTTCCGTGGGATGTGGCTTCTTAGACCAGGCGCTGACGCAGGAGTTAGAGATTCAGGTCTTCACTCATCCTTGCCGGAACCGCCACGGTCTTTTTGGTGCTACAACTCTTCACTTTGTTCGGTTTTGGTGGGGTTTAAAAAATAACAATCGTCAAATTATGTTGTCGCAAAACAGCCTTGTATATCCTGGTGTACGGTGGTATAAGATGAGGATGATGTTGTAGCGCTGGATGGTAATACGGAATGGCAAAGTTCTCCCATGTCAAGGTCACAACCTTAACCTTCTATCCGATCCATTCAGCGCCCCCACACCCCCGCCCTGCCAGCTCTCCATTAAGTCCGTGAAATCTGGCAACTGACTTGCCGGGATGGTGGCCTCCAGACGATTCGTGTCACCACAGGTAAAACCCGAACTGCTCGGTTCCCGCCAAAAACTGGCCGGGAATTTCCGTTGCTGCATGGGAACGACGTCACGGCCCGACCCCGGGGGTGGATTATATTTTTGCCCGACCCTCAAAACCGGGTGAGTTTTCTCTTTAAGCAGGCCGTAGTCAAAGAGTTCTTTCAACGGCCCGATGCCGATAGACAGGTCACGTCTGCCGCTGTACTGAGGCACGCGGCTGATGCCCGGGGGTGAGGAGTTGGAGGACGACGGCGACGGTTTCCTGGCGGGGTCCGTGTCCCCCTGCGCGATGCGCAACAAATCCGCGTAGTAGAGTTCTCTCCCCGACTGGGTTGTCGCCCATTTGTCCTCGTACACGTCGCACGAGTCGTCCTGGTCCTTCGCCCGCCCGAAGAACTTTTGAATGTCCGAGCTCACCATGCAGGCAAAGTCCAACAGCTGTGACGTCACGTCCGGTTGTTGCTGCTGGACATGGCGGCGGTACTGCTCGTAGGTTTTGCGAAGATCCTCGTCGTCGAGGTAACTTTTTTCGTCGTCTTCAATGTCCTCATACTCCTCTTCTTCTCGATTCTCCTGTCGTTGCTCCTGCGTAGATGAGAGGAGGGTAGCGTGTTGTTTCGGACCCGGGAACGAATCCTGTTTCGACGGTGCCGGTCTGTTGTGGTACGGGTAACCGGAAACCGGCTCGTGTTGTAGAAGAGGGTGAGGGTACGCCGGGAAGGCGAGCTGGTAGTCCGGGGGTTGCTGGAGCGGGTGGCAGAGGCGGGGGTCGGGCAGGAAGTGGGAGCCGAAGTCGCGCTGGTAGTAGGGGCCGGGTCGGAACTCTGGCCCGCTAGGGTCATGATGGTGCATGGCCAACATAGGGAATGCTTGGTGGTGTCAGGTGAGAGGCGTGAATCTTTATGCACGCATTGGGCGTGGTTTGTATGCGCTGGTGAGCGTGGTTATGTGCACAGGTAGGCGTAGTTGTTTGCGCTGGTGGGCGTGGCTAAGTACACTGGTGGACGTGGTTGTGTGCACTGGTAGGCGTGGTTGTTTGCACTGGTAGACGTGGTTATGTGCACTGGTGGGCGTGGTTAAACACACTTGTGGGCGATGCTATGCACACTGGTGGGCGTGGTTATGTGCACTGGTGGGCGTGGATACGAACATGTACAGGTGTTTTTATAGTATCCATCAATTAAAATAGTTTGAAACACAATTGATAAGAAACGTGTTAGGTCAAACCATTTTCTTCAGGTTTCGATCTCCTCTACTTGTGTTGTAAAGTGCTTGAATATTAACACGATCTTTTGTGTATGCATCACCCAATCATTACACAAGCAAACTCACAATCGTGAGCTACATCTGTTTTTGTTTACCTTGTAATTGCCTGTTGAGTAGAAATGAAAGTCATTAATTTATATATAAATGAATGGAAAGTATATATATATATATATATATATATATATATATATATATATATATATATATATATATATATATATATATATATATATATATATATATAAACCGTTATAAATATCACAAGCAATATTAATGCTAATATATCATGTGTGTAAAATAAGCGGTCGGCGTGGTCGGGTCGATGAAGCGCATGGTTGCTGAACCGGAAGGTCCCGAGTTCGAACCTTCGGGCAGATGAGTCCCGAAGCAGGGGACAGCAACCCATCTAGGAAAGAAAACTCTATAATCAAACAACTGCTGTCTTGTACAAAAGCTATGGAAGCAAATCCAAAACGAAGTCGGAGTCAACGACCTAGATCTATATGGCAATGAACAGGTTAATACGTATGTCGTGATTGGGTTGGAGGAAATCTAACATTACAATAAAGAACAAAGAAGATGTGTAAATCAATAATATAGTGTTTGTAGCTACATATTAGAAAATTATACATGATACAAATTGAACCACTGTATTCACGTTTTTAACAGAGGACTTATTCCCCACAAAACTCCAGTCACTATTCGCCTCCATTAACAAGGCACGGTGGGTGTACTAGTGTGTACACGCCATCAAGTCAGAACGATGTGTACATCCCAGTGCTCTACTGATGTGTACATTTCGACTTGACACAGCCTATATCTGAAAACCAAGAACTCAGCTCCCCTCCCCCCCCCCACCCACACACACCACCCCCCTCTCTTTAGTCCCACCCCAAGTTATTCGCCAGCCCACAGATAAGAGCTATCTCGCGGTCTCGCTTTAAAAGCATTTAATAGTGTTTATGTTTGTTCGAGTAGCAAGTTTGGCTACTCGTACGTCGACGGTCTACAAAGAGCCGATCTCCCACTTCCGCTGAATGTTTTCATTAGGATCAAAATGTGAAGCTCATACGATCGTGAAGAAAAGAAGGCTAGCAATAAACTGTATAATAGGGATAGCACAATACAGCACTTGTTTAACTATAACATAAATATGAACATCGTCTCCTTATCTTTTCACGTTTGTACCCTAAACACATGGGGAAGATGAAGTAGAGTTCATCTGATTAAATGACCTCGGCATACAGGGGTAATGTTATCAACAATATGCCCAGCCGTCTTTGTTTCCTTAACGTGAGTTAGGTACTGATCAGAGTTAGGTGGACTTACTGATTTGAACCCAAGACTTTCGGGTTAGCAGTCTAGCTCTCTACCGCTAAGCCACACCGTCCCACAATATCAACATAATGAATTTTAAATATTAAAATAACAACCGATAGCTTGAAAATGTTATTACAATTGCACTAAAATACAAATAAAAATTCACTTTTAAGATTTGTTTGAAATAGCTTCGCATACCTACCAACAAAGTCCTGCTAACTTTACAGTCTTTATAGTTTACAAAGTTACAGCCTATATAGAAATCTTTGGTATTAAAACTAAGACCGGAGAATCAACTCCGAAACAAACCAAAAAACGTGTTCAAATTTGGTTTGACTTGTCAAAGATAACAGGTTTGAGCCAGGTTTGACCCAGCGTGGTATGCCAGCTATTCCAGAGATCTGATTAGATGACCTTCTGGAATGTCTTCTCCCCAACCCCCACCCCCATCATTCCCTTCTCCACCCCGGACATACATAATACATTCAATAGAATCTATTGTTCTCTTTTCAATATTGCACAGTTATATATTTTTGTGGTGTTTATATTGCGGTGTTATTATGGTAAAGTCGGCTGGGCTTAGTGCTGACCAGTAAAAAAAAAGTAAAGTTTCCCCTTTCAAACCTGACTGTCTATGGGGCAAATGAAGTAGAGTTCACTTGTTTCTGTGACCTCGGCATATGAAGAGATAGTGTGGTCAGCACTATGCCCAGCCGCCTTTACTTTCTCTAATGTTAGTTAGGTACCCATCAGAGTTGGGTGGACTCAGGGACGGTCTACTGACTTCAACCTGGATTCGAACTCTACCGCTAGACCACTCCGTCCCTAGTGCTGACCACATTATCCCTTTATATGCCGAAGTCAACAAAACATGAACTACACTTCATTTGCCTTTTGGTCTAAAGAGGAACGTTAACGTTACTTCTTTTTATTATGGATTGCCTTATCCCACCCCTCATACCTCACCCCCCCCCCCCCCCCATACACACACACATATTCAAATACGAACACACAACAGATGAAAAAGTCGAAATTTTAAACACAGATTTTTTTCTTAATCTCCGGCTCGAACCCACGCTACCCAGACGTGACAATTTTATTCCGACCCCCCGGAAGGGGCGAATAAAATAAAACGCGCTAATTCTGCGAATCGCTTGCTTCAGTCACTTTCTGGCGAGTTAAAAAAAATAGACGTCGAAAGAAAGTGGATAAAAAAGATTTGCAACAAGACAACTAGAAATATCCGATAGTTTTATTTCAAAAATGCGAGATACACAGCGTTTACGCTTGCGACATGTATACTATACATGTCAATGGGGAATAAACTAGAAACATGTTAATGTTACATGAAAAAAATAAAATTTAAACGGAACATGTATAGGTCTACCTACTTTCTACGATTTTCTTATCTAGTCATTTATATTATGCAAGTCGCAAGTGTAAATGCGGTATATTTTGCATCCTATATAAAAAGCCAAATTAAAATATGAAGATTTAGCAATTGTTAAATTTTTAAAATTCCTAACCTTTGATTTTATGTGGAAATAAAATTGTACATATACTGAGTTTGGTGTTCTGATAAATCTATTGTTTAGTCATGTCTGTTGTTTAGTCTGTCTTGTCTGTTGTTTTGTCTGTCATGTCTGTTGTTTTATCATTCATGTCTGTCTGTTGTTTTGTCTCTCATGTCCGTTGTTTTTGTCATGTCAACATTTTTGTAACGGCACACAGCTGGAAGCGAGCGAGATTTCAGCGAATAGTTTATATTTCTAAGACCAGAAATACTGAAAACTTAAAAAAATTTACCTTAAAATTTAAGTTAAAATTATAGTCACCTTAGTGGTGGAAGGGGTAAGGCGGAATCACGTGACGTCATTTAATGTGAATGATGGGTTATTTTTTGTGTGACAAAGGTTGGGATTTTTTTTTTCTAAATGGCTTTTACTGCTCGGCATTGTTGATGGAAGACTTTTTTTTTAATCCTTAAAAAGCAAAAAATACACACTCTTAAAACTAAAACTTCTGTATGTGGAATGCAAAAGAAAGATTAGAAGAAAGAAATTATCATGTTAGGAATAGCTGGAGTAGGGTGGGGAGGGGAGGGGGAGATAGGAAGATGGTAGAACAACCACGAAAAAAGCGTCTTTTCATCGTCCATAAATAACACAAATGTATGCTAGTCTTTAAAATATGTCCGTATTAAAACTTCATCAGCAAAACCACAGCAGTATATTTAGCCGAAAAATGCTAAAACAACCGAAATAAAAATATTGCCCCAAAAAGAAATAGAAAACTTTAGTACTTAATCACAAATGCTAAAGCAACCGAAATAAAAATATTGCCCCAAAAAGAAATAGAAAACTTTAGTACTTAATCACAAATGCTAAAACAACCGAAATAAAAATATTGCCCCAAAAAGAAATAGAAAACTTTAGTACTAAATCACCAGAACAAATAAGAGGAATATAAGTAAACAGTTTACAGAAAGAATATAAAAACGTCAGCAAATAAAGAGAGAATAGAGGCGAAGTGTCAAACATGGAGGAATGTCAACAGGACAGATATGAAAATCCCGAGGGTTGGGACGGCCGGTAAGATAAGCTGAGTAAACCAGGGGTGGTGGGAGGTGGGGGTGGGGGGGGGGGTCCCTTGTGACACAATCTGGAGGGAAGTTTTAACACAAGGGGTGACACAGGAGGTAAGGTTTAATAGCCAAGTTTTGACGTAGGAGGAAAAGTTACGCGATGGTGCGGTGATGAGGATGAAGTTTATGAATTTAAATAAGGCAATAGTTTTTATTAAATAAACAACAGTCGTTTCTGCTGGGACTTAGTGGTTGAATGGTAGAGCATACGACAGCTCATGTAAAAGTCTCTAGTTCGGACTACATTGTCCTACCATATGTCAAGGTCAATGAAAAAGGTGAAGTTTACTTCACCTGCCTATGGACCGTCAAAATCGAAAGGGTATTTTAGTTCGCACATCACAGTCATACCCTAACTTTTTTTGTTATCATAGATGTACCCAGCATCGCAACTATATCCAACATCAAAATTTTACCCAAAATCACAACTTTGCCAAACATCACAACTTTACCAAACATCAAAACTTTACCTAACATAACAACTTTACCTAACATTACAACTTTACCCAACATTACAACTTTACCCAACATTACAACTTTACCCAACATTACAACTTTACCCAACATTACAACTTTACCCAACATTACAACTTTACCCAACATCACAACTTTACGAAAAATCACAATCAGC